TATGCTTCCTGTTCCTCAGGCTCAGTTAATGAAATCTGATTTTAGAGCTTTTGGTCGTGCATTAGCTGACAAATGGCAAGCAACTTGCCAGCGTAATCTCTCTTCAACTGTTAGTGGCCCAAATGGCTTGTGGAAACAAGCAATAATACTGGATCCTTTCCTTAAATCTGTGCAACCACAACTCATTGACAATTACACTCAGCTGTTTGGTTTAGTCACTGACATATCTAGTATTAAGGACGAGTTTACTATGTACTTACGAGAGCCTGTACCTGATAACCCAGACCTAACAGCAATGCAGTACTGGAGTAATGTGAAACAGCTATACCCACAGCTTTCTCAAGCTGCATTGGAATTACTCTCTATTAGTACAGAAAGTGTAGATGTAGAACGTAGCTTTAGTAAATTAAGAAAGCTACAGCATCCTACAAGATCATCTGTCTGCTGAAGTTCTTCGAATGAACATGACACTTTACTTTAATCAAGACATTCAGGGACACTTTTGTAATTATTAATTTTTGTCAAGTGTAAAGTGTAATATTTTGAGTCCGTACTTTTTGTAAATTTTTTTGATGAGTATTTTGAACCCGATTTTGTGATTACAATGAGAGTTTAACCCGATTTAACTACTTTTGTGTTAAGTAATAACATAACCCGAAAAAGTCACCCCGAAATTATATTTTTTAAAAACCCGAAAACTATGAGGCCTACTTGTGAAGCCTGGACAACTACTTTAATAAGCTAGTGACTGCCTATTCATTCTGGCTAGCATAGCTAGGGGGCTCATGTTTTGCATTCTACTAGTTTATCAATTAAAGTCAAGCTAACTCATGGCCACATGCCATGCATCATATTGGGGTGCAATAGTGTTCAGATTTTACCTGGCTCACGTTGCAACCTTGTTATGACAATCACTACCAAGAAAACTCAAGTCCAATCCTTGTTCAAAAATAAATTTGAAGATCAAAATCAATTCTTCTTCATTCGAATACTTTACCTACCTCATTACACCATTAAAAATTAAAAGTGTAATAGTTTCATGCCTGTATCAATTCAACATCTAGTTTTCCAACTCAAGTAAATTGTTACATTAAAGTTTAGCATAAGCCTGGGCAATCACAAGAAGCATGACCACCAACAGTGATTGGTTTCTTTTCCTTTTGTAATGAGTGGCATGTCTGTGAAATTGCTATGTGAAAGTAACTGTTGGTTAGACTATTTCATGGTCCTATTTATTTAATTTCTTAATTTTTCCGTGTTTTTAATTTAACAATTTGATCTACGAAGTTAAATTTAAATTTTATTAAAAATTTTTGCAGTATAAAGTAAAGCCACTTAAAATAACCCATGAATACACACTGCCAGGTAGCATTTGAAGATTCTGGAAATCTGGACCTCTTTTATTGGAGAAAATAGCCATCAAGCATGATAGACAGATATTAAGGGTGGAACATCTTCCATAGAAAATTTGAAACGTTTTTATTAGCTATGTGTTGGAGGGATGGTCACCTGTGAAGCTACTGGTACATGAAGGCACTGAACCGATTTACCTCGAGGAGGTCTTGATTCCCTGTTTACTAAAATACAGGGTGAAGAAAGGGATTTGTCTACGTTGAAACAACTGACTAAAGTCAACACTGATCATTAATTTCAATAATTATTTATTTATGTTCATATTTGTGTAAGAACTTCCAGTAAACTATATATAATGTAGCTTTACACTTAGTTCATCTTTATTACTGCAAGCTTTAATCTCTTGATTGTCGTCATCTCTACTTCATAATATGCATCTTCACTTTGTTGGGTTCACCTATTCACAGCTAACCTTCTCAGTCATTATTGGCTTACCAACTTCAATACACTGGCACTAGCAATGAATCCATTAAAATGATATCAGAGCAAATAGCCACATTAACATACCATTGAGCTTCCAAGCACTTCTTTTTGCTGTAGACAAGTCAATTGGTTTTAGTTCTTTTATAATACAAGACTTAAGTTGATCTACTATTTCATTGGCGTACCAACTTTAGTTAGTAAGGATTTAAGCACAGATTGGATGTTGTTACTTGTCATCATTGGTGTTAATTGACATTTGACATAATCAAAAATGGCCAATGCAGCATCTATAAATTTATAATACTTACTTTATAACTGAAAAGCAAATATTAGCATTTTAGTATCATCTAAAAGGCCTATGAATATACTTTATTTCAAAGTAACAGGTATGTTTGCCTATACAAGCAAAAGAAGACAGATTTGGCCAACAAATAGCAATAAAACACTAAACAAGAAAGAAAGCTAGAAGACTTGATTTGGCCAGGCATACATGTACTCTGGTTTTAGAAATAGCTTTTCTTCTAAATCTAATTGCTGTGCCAAATATAGAGTATATTTTACCTGTTTTAAATTAAAGGCTTATTATTAGTCCTAAAACTAGAGTTATTTCAATAATAAGAACCTGAACAACACCATTCTGAATATCTTTATCAAATTCTAAATAAGTATCCTTTTATTTTTAGGGATGGCATCTAACAAAAAATTTAGTGTTAAAAGCATCAAAGATTTTAACCCTAACGACAACAAGTTTCTTGTCGAGTGGGAATCAAGTCATGATAACTCCTGGGAGCCATTGACTAATCTGTTTTGTCCAGATCTCCTGTTACAGTTTGAGGCACGGAGAGTCAGTCCAAGATCTCAAAACCCCAAGCAAATTGTTACTCTCGATGGATGTATTGAAGCTCAATGGTAATTTGAAATTTAAAATGTATTAATTTTTTGTATTATATGCTGTTGTTCATAGCCTAAAATTACTTTGAAACAATGTTACGACATACTTAATTTGATTTGCCATTTATTGAATTACATGTAATTGGACAGGGTTTATTTCCCACAGAAAACTGGCCAAAGCATCATGTTAGACAATTATCAAAAATTGGGTAAAAATTCGTACTGTGTAGCATACATGGAGTTGATTACATTAAAATGTAATGTGCCGTAGGGCGCCTTTTTCAAGGGCTGTAAATTTCGTGAATTAGCCCATAAAATCAATTTTGGGAATTTAAGTTTTGTGAATTTATGCCTTCTGCCTTCTTGTATGATTAGAATTTGATTTTTGCGAAAGTAATTTTTGAAACTCTTCATGAAATTTGCCAAATGTATAGCCCTTGAAAAAAGGCACCCTATGGTATTACAATTACTATAACCAGAAAATTTTTCATATTACTATAAATTACTTAACTAAAGTTATATTACTATTACTTAACTTTTAATTCCTATTACTAGTACCATTATGACTTTCTTATTAGTAACGGAATAGCGTTACTAAAACCCCCCCTTAAAAATGGCTGCCACAACTTTTGCAGCCTTGCTATACCGGGAAAATGAGCAATTATGCTTACCAAATTTATTAGAGGGCCTTCCAGACTCCAATAGTATCACTGGCGTTACTCTAAACCTTTTCTGAGAGGAAATCTAAAAATCGGCGAACCAGCCGTTTTTTTTTCGCCACCTTTTTTCATCATCATCATCGTCAAGAAGTCCTGTCAATCCTGTTTTTCGTCTATATCTCGCATTGGTTGATGCTACAAGGATAATCCTTACAACAATGTACTCCAACAGCAGGTCCACATCCCATGAGATCATTCTTCGAGTAAGGATTAAGTGATACTATTGACTGCTGAATTGTACCATCTTAGCTGCATGCTGCCATTTTGTTAATTAAAGAAGGATGTGCCAAAAAATTTGGGTGTGGCCGCGCATGCTCAGATTTTAGAACTGGAAAATCAAGCAATTTTTGTACCAAGCTATGCTTGAAATCAGACTTGGGGTCAATTACAACTTTTCAATTACAATTACACATTTATATATGTAAATTTGTTCCAAATAGCCTCAATTAAAATTACAATTACATTTCAGGTCTCTCAACTCAATTACAATTACAATTACATTATAATTACAGTTTTAAATCATGGTTACAATGTATAAACATTAATGACTCAAATAGATTATTACTGAGACGACACCGTTCTGGCCTAAAAATTTTTCCTCCTATACTAAAAAGCCTTTCTACAGGTGCTGATGATGCATGAACAGCTAAGTAAACAGTGGCTAGTTTAGCAAGGATTGGATATTTGTCCTTACTTGTTTTCCAAAACCCAAGAACATCAATATCGTCATCATCAGAAGCAATGCAAGGAATTGACAAATATGCACTGATCTCAGATGATACTCCAACTTGGTTTGCCTGAGTCCAGTAGGTAGCACTAGACCGGTCTTTCATAAATCCTAAGCCTGGTCTAGCCCTCTTTGTAGGAGGAGGAAGATCAGCTCGCATCTCAGCCTCAGGTGGAGAAATTTCTTCTGCCTTTGTTAACAGTAACACCTTTGTGCTCTCCAATTCTTCATCAGGGCACCAATCAAGTTTGTATCTTGGATCTAACACTGTTGCCAATTTAAATATTTCGAACTTGGAAAGCCTTTCATCCACTGCGTTCTTAAGAGAAGTAACAAGTCGGCTTTTATTGCTAGTTTTTCAAGCTGTTCACGAAGAGATCGAACACATATGATGACCTCACTACCTGTAACAATATTTTGTCCCTGAGCAATATTTGTTGCTTCTTCAAAGGGACTCAAAATCTCACACAAATCTTTCATTTCATGTGCTTTAGGCTTATCTAAGAAATCTATTTGTTCCATAATATCATCGGAACTTGTACAACACTTCTGATCATTTTGAGTTGACTGTTCCACCTAGTAGCATTAGCAAGTTGTAGTTTATTGCATTTCTCTAACAGTTCAGAAGCAAGATGAGATTTCCTGACAAAAGACACTAATTTTGAAACTTTGCTGAATTCACTGTCCTCAACTGGCCAGCATCCTTAAGTCCATCCTTTACAGTAGAGTGTGTGCGAAGCAAGGTATTCTGTCAGGAACAGGTGTTTCTTCTGCTGCAGACAGGATACTACCTTGAACAAATCCAGCCAAATCCAATGTCATAGGTTCAAATCATCTACTTCCTCCTCATCCCCTACTTCTTCCTCATCCTCTACATCTTTATCATCCTCTTCATTAGCATACCCGGTAAAGAGAAGGCTTTTACCATGTTAGCAGCACTGTCAGTAATGACTGCTGTGATTTTATTATGAACACTATATTCTGTTACAATTTGGTCATATTGCTGATTATTACATTCTCCAGTGTGCGATCCATACACCCTTCGACATGTTAGCAACACAGACAGAAGTTCTCAATAAAATGTACAGTAATATCAATGAAAGACCTCATATCTCTACTGGACCACAGATCTATTGTTAGACAAACTCCATGTGCTTCTTGAAACTTGAGCTTCATCTTTTGATGAATGTTGGCACATAGAATGAGCTTTGTGCATAAATGCTTTCTGCTAGGCATAGTATAAGCTGGCTGGGCCTTTTCTATTACTTCCCTAAACGCACCACTTTCCACAAGGGAAACAGGTAGTAAATCCTTAGCAATAAAGGAGACAATAGATTGTGTGAGAGAGATTTGTCCGTCATCATTGTGGTGCCATTTCCTTAGTGCAGTTGTGTACTCGGTAACTTTAGCTTGTGTTGCTGGACTGCACTTACTAAGACTTTTATGTATTTCAGGATGTTTCCTCTAAAATGAGACATATTTAAGTGCCACATTCTGATAAAAATGCTGCCTAGCATACCTTCAGATGAGTAATAAAGTTTGAAGTTGCCTTATAAGATCCAGACACTTTAACTTTACAGTGCTTACAAAGTGCTTTGAAGTTTGTAAGAGGAGCATCAGTATTATCAGCTTCAGGTAGGTTGTAATGATCAAAAACAGGAGAATTTGCCATGACAAAGCTTAACACATGTGAAACTGAGACAATCACATGACTTTACAGGTGGAATATGCATGCATCAAAAGTCTATGGTTTAATTATCTCCTTTCGTGTAAATGTGCCTTGTAATTTATCATTAGTTACAATTACAATTACAATTACAGTCCACGAAATATATATCAATTACAATTACAATTACGTAATTGTAATTGTAATTGACCCTTAAATTACAATTACAATTGTAATTGACCCCAAGTCTGCTTGAAATCAACTACAATACTTAGTGGAGGTTTCCACCTAAGAGGAGGTATTAATCCTACATGTACATGTTATTGTTTTATTAAGTGTGCCATTTTATTTTATTAAAAAAACGCAAACTATATGCAATGGTAATATGAACTTGACAACAGCATGGAAGAACAGGAATAGCTACAGGATTGCAGGGCTCTCAGCTCACAGCTTCTCGATCAAGGACTTGTGTCAAGACTAGTATTAATTACCCGCGCCCACGCGTAGGCGTGGAAGCGAGGGTAAAGCAGTCGTAATGTCTGTGTGTGTGTGTTCGCTTGACCTCCACTTTTAAACTGACACTACTTTCTTGTCTATTTCTGGAGAGTCCTATAATCAACTCTAGCCATTGAAAAAGTTATTCCTCGTCCTGAGAATGCTTATTTTGTGTTTTCCATGGAACAAGAAGCTGGCAAAGTCGCCAAATGTAGGTTGGTTTCCCTGCAGTTTTTTCATGGTTAAACCAAAAGAGCAACTTGGCAGTTAAAACAATAAAGCAAAGCATAGCCCACATAGCCTACCTTGTGAGTTTACATGAGGCTCTCTTCTCCCGAAGTAGCGGCCAGTGTCCGTAAACATCAGGGACTCAATAGACGTTTGTATGCAACAAATAGAGCCTAACAAATGTATGCTAAACTGTTTGGAAAACAAGAAAAACTAATGCTTTCTTCACCACTTTGGGCCATGTGCCACCATTACTGTGTGTGCGGGTGGAGCATGGCTTGATTGAGCCACACTTTCATTGCAGCCACACCTTGACATTGCAAACATTCTGAAGCTTCTTCTCTGTCTCAAACATTCACGAAGTTTTACTAAATCTCTTACATGCTGAAGCTTCTTCTCTGTATCAAAACTTTCATTAATTAATTTACTGAAACTGTTACATACAGATTGTGGCGAGGGTATGCACTTTAGTGCTCTCGTTTAACTTATCATCAGTATAGTAGATATTCCTTCAGCTTCTCTCATAAATGCTATAAAGTCATACAATGATAATAATAATAGAACATAAAAAATTTAAAAAAACAGGACGAAGTAGGTTTCTAGAGCAAATTCGTAATAAAGTAATAGAAACAAGGGTAAGTAGGATTTCAAAAGACCAACAAAAGAAAATCCTACTCTCTTGACACAAATTGCACTCTACATTGTATGTTTCTATCCTAGCATTATAGATCACCTTGCAATGTAGAGTAGAATTTACGTCACGGGAGTAGGATTTTTATTTCATATTTCTGTTGGTCGTTTGCAATCCTACTTACACTTGTTCCTATTACTTTTTACGAATTTGCTCTAGAATCCTACTTTATCTTCCTTTTTTAATTTTTTATGTTCTTGTTTGTGTTGATTTTTTATTCTTTAGTTGTCATTGTAATACTTATTTATTTTACACAAACAATATTTTATTTGTTATTACTATCATTGTTATTATTTTCATTTTTATTATGAAAGTTTTTATGAGACACGGCATTGATATTAGTGTTGTTCCAGTATTCATGTATAATTTTAGTTATAGTTATAGTTAAAATACAATAAATTAGGCAAATTATAGTATAGTATCAGTATTTGAAGAATAATTCTAGTATAGTATTAGTTATAGTATTATTTACCCAAATAATTATAGTATAGTATAGTTTTAGTAACAGTGAATATTATAATTGTAGTATAGTATTAGTTTTAGTTTTGATTACTAAAATTGCTGTATTTTAGTGTAGTACTTATACTATAAAAGAAATTTACTTAGTTCTAGTATTGTATTAGTTTTAATACTATCATATTTATGAATTTAATCATTATATTAACCAAATTGTATGTGCTAAAGCCACTAAGTTACCATGTGATTTCAATAGAGAAGGTTTCATTACATGTTTAGGTGTTAATCTGTTAGTCTACTTTGTGCCAATGTTAGCATAGTATCCATTCAGTACTACATTTAATACTATAATACAAACTTTTGTTTTAGTACTAATTATAGTATAGTTTAAGTACTAGTACTAATACTAAAATTATTTATAGTATAGTATCCATAAAGAAAATAAAATTTTAGTATAGTATTAGTTCTAGTATTTGTGAATGAAATAATTTTAGTAAAGTGATTGTTATAGTATCTGTGAGTGAATTAAGTTTAGTATAGTAATAGTTATAGTACCAAAATACTAGAACAGCACTAATTGATATTATGTTGAAAGAATATCTACTATACTGATGATAAGTAAAATTAATGCTAGTCTTGACACCATTCTTTGTTCAAGAAGCAGTGAGAGCTTTCATCTTTGGATGATCTATTCCTATCATGGTGTTGTCAAGTTGAATGTTCATAATTAATCATTGCATATTAGCTATAACATTCAAATTAATAACTAGTCACACACTTAATGAAACAATTATATGCAAGATAAATACCTTTTCTTAGCTGGATACCTCCACCAAGTATTGCAATTGATTCCAACCATAGGTAGTTAAAAATAAATTGCTTCTTCAGAGCTGCAGATCTAAGCATCGACCACACCCACATTTTGGAGCACATCCTTTTTTAATTAACAAAACCAGCTAAGATGGTGAAATTCAGCAGTCATGGCATCACTTTTTCTTTCTTTGAAGAATGATCTGATGAGACATGCATCTGCTCATAGCCATTTGGAGTAGAATGGTATAAGAATTAATCCTGTAGTACCAGCTAATATTGAAATACGCCTTGCAAACTGAATTGACAGGACTTGATGAAGATGAAGATGAGAAAAGGTGGCTGAACAAAACGGCCATTTTGCCGATTTTTGACTTTACTCTTAGACAAGGTTTAGAGTCATACTAGTGTTATAATTGGAGTCGTCAGATCAAGATAATGTCCTCTAGGAAGTCTGGTAAGCATAGGAGTAATGCTGCAAATGTTGTGGCAGTCATTTTGAAGTGGGGTGTATCCTACTTAGTAATGGTACCACGTTACTAATAAAGAACAGTATTGTTTGTGTAAAATCAATAAGTATTACAATGGCAACTAAAGAATATTACAATATTAAAAAAATAACACAAACAAAAACAAAAAATTTGAAAAACATCTTCTAGAGCAAATTTTTAAAAAAAGTGATAAAAACAAAGGTAAGTAGGATTCTGAACGACAAACAGAGACACGTTACGAAAATTCTACTCTCATGACCAAATTCTACTCTACATTGCAAGGAGATCTAGATAATAACATAAAACGTACAATGTAGAGTAGAATTTGCTGTAGGACTTTCATTTTGTATTTTTGTTGATTGTTCGGAATCGTACTTACCCTTGTTTCTATTACTTTCTGACGAATTTGCTGTAGAATTTTACTTCATCTTGTTTATTTATTTTTTAATGTTTTTGTCATAATTGGATTATACCTGAAGATACTTGTACATACATGTAAATAAAAGCTTCTGATATAACAACATGCACTCCACAGATGACTAAGCAACATGAATAGAAGCAAAGTTTAGCCTGGCAGTGGCATTGACAACTTGACACTTAATGCATAATTTCCAATGCAATTATTATTACAGACTTTCTATTTCATATTGCAATTGCAATGGATTTTGTTTTTCAATTACTAATATATTACTATTACACAAATATTTGTAATCATTACTATTACTATTACATATTACCCCATGTCTGCTGTGAAAGGTATTTCAAAAAAATCACAAGGAGAAAATTCTTCAGTTTTATACCATTTCATGATATGCATACATGTTTTCTATGTTATGTAGAGCTGATATCAATCAAAATCAGATTTTTGTTATTTTTAGAAGTGCTATAGTGCTTATGAATATGTTGTACATAGCATGCATTGTGGTAAATCCTCTCAATAATTCTTTTATAATTCCTTCTGATTTAATAAAAATTGTATGATTATTTTGAAGTAGAACAACAAAAACATGGTCAGTCAATTCAGTGAAATTGCCAATGCTGTACGGTTATTTGGGGCTCTGGCTGTTAATTGATGGGAAAATTTTAGCAATGTTATTACAACATGTCATTTAGCAACATAAAGCTTGCACCCAAAGACCTAGAAGTTCAAAAGTTAATCGTGATCAAAACACCGACTATTAATTTACCAAAATGCTTTATACATGTCTTTGTAGTAATCTATATTTTTCTGTAGGAGTGATTCTGACATCCATATCTTGCAAGTAAACAAGAAAGTCCTTGAACTAGTTCAAGAAGGACATAAAGTGGTGAGTATGATAATGTAATAGTATTAAGTTTAATACCACTAGGCATTTCTGTATTATACAGGTATTGTTGAGAAGTATACTCAATAATCTCTTTACAAATTTTTAGGTATCAACGGAAAGATTGCTTGATGAAGGTTGTGTTGTACCCTCTGGTTTTCATACTATGCGGGAATTGGAAACTTTGTGTCCCCAATTCAAAACCTTTCAAACTTCTGCCTTCCGTCTACAGAAGTTTTCATTACCAACGTAAGTTGTTTCCCAGTGCATAACCATTCATAATTATAATTACAGGTTACCGGCTTCTTGTGTTATTAGCAATGATATCATTGGGCCTATGAGATCTCAGTTGCGATATGTCTCACAGAGTTGTGAAGAATCTATGAGTTTCTTCGTTGTGCAAGCCTTAGTCACCGGGCTGGAGCTTCTTGGTTAGTATTAAGTTTCCAGCAGACTATTTTATATGAAACGTTTCAGAAAAATCATTATCGTCAAATGAGTTAGCATTATGATAAACTGACTACAATTGCCATTTCTCCTTTTAATTTCATTTTAGATAAACGTTGTTTTACTATTCAGCAGCAAAAGGTTATCACGAAAGATTATAAGGAAGACATTGCAATTATCCATCTTGCCGATCAACACTCCGTTGTGGCTTTAATAGAGGTGGCGTTTTCTGTCAATCCTTCTCTGTTAAAGGTACTGCCAAGTAAATTGGCTGAGTGTTTATTGTATGCATATTACGAGTTAAAGAAGGGGGAACGTGAAAGTTTCACTATATACTCAGCTTTAACTGATTTCTATACCTGGCATATATTCGAAGTGAAAATTCAAAGATATGTCCCAAAATTGAAAATAGAGAAATACTATACGATTCTGCACTCAGTCTCTGAAGTAAATGTAAGTGCTGACAGTTTGAAACTACTTCTGGCTGACATTATAAAGTTTCTCGTACTCTGTTGCAATTAGTTGTAGTAATTTGTACTAGTGAATCCATAATAATTACTATGCCTTTCAATATAAGATGATATTTGTGTGTTATGTTTTAATGATGAAGTGTTGTCCAATAATAAATAGTACTTGTTTTGCAAACATTATTCTTCTTTCAGTAGAACAGAGTCCCCTCTGCACTTTAACAATCAAAGTGTTCCTCATACGCTTGCAAGTTAGAGTGTACAGAAGTACAAGTATATATGAGTCACTTGAAGTGTACTGTGCACACTTAATTACACGCGTATGTCAATTTATGACATTTTATTTTAATGAAACAAAATTACAAGTGTAATGATGCTTACTATATGCACTAAAACCTATACTTTATGCACCAAAACCTATACTTTATGCACCAAAACCTATACTTTAATGGCCCACACATAACCATAACCATCAAATAATGGTTATCCATGTCGGGTATTAATAAAGTGTAGGGGTAATACTGCAAGAGGGATAATTCTTAGAAAGAGAAGAGTGATGATCTTAATCAGGACAGCAATGCCATCTTGAGACATCTTTGGTGCAAGTAGCAGATCCATAATAGTTAGTAGTCTCAGGAAGTTTTGCCATCTTAAATCAGATTCAGGAATTTTATCTCTAATCATTATTGGTAACAGGCTACATAGGCACCACATTTGAGCAGCTATGACAAATTAGGCATAACCATTATTTGATGTGCATAAAATTACATGTAACCACCTTTTTGCTTGTAGATTTGCTTTTGAAATCCCAATAAGTTTGTCCCGAACATCAATTGGCGAATATGGAAACATGCAAATGTAGTCATTTAACTCTGTAGTTCTGTATTCAAATTTAGTACTTTTATTTTTCATAACAACTGATGTGCATGCCTACCTATTGATGTCACACAACTATCAGGATTGTACTGCTACCTTCCTGCAATCTCTGAATTGAGCCAATGGGTAAATTCCCAATCCTGGATCAATGTCTCAAAGGATTTTTCTTAGACAGCTTTTGACTTTTCTAGCATTAGCTCATGGACTGCAGTAAAGTACCGCATAGGTTGGTACAACTGAGTATGATACTAAAACATGATGAATCAAAAATAAAAATTAATGGATTATTATACATGCACAATGTCATGCTGATCTTGATGTCTTTAATTTGACTACATTAAAAGAACATAAAAAGAGAAAATATAAATTGACGTCACTAAAATGCAAGACTTATCATATCCTGAGCTTGGTGGTGCATTGAGAGATTTACTATACATATAGGAAACAAAAAGGACAAAGAGAGGGAGGTATATAGAAGCATTTCAAATTAAGTACACTGTAATATTAATTATGTGCTCAGAATGTAATAGTAATTTAATGGTAGTTACCTTATTGGAGTGGATATACCAGCAACAAATAGTATTTCAATAAATAAATCATGCAGTGATTAGTGGCCATTAGCCAGTGACAAACATTTTTCCATACTTGTCTAAATCTGAGAACTAAATGTGCCACAAACTGAATGTATAAATGAGACAGATGTAGCAAAAAGAAAGATGGTGTAGACAGTTAAACCGTAAACTGTGAGGCAATAAATTAGGAGAGGGTATGGGTGTAGTGCATGTTAACAGGTTTTATAACAGTAAATTTCTCAAATTTTTCATAAAATACCCATACTAAAGAAACAGTAAGGGGCTTTGCCCATGCACTATAGCCATGCAATCATCACAAAAATTTGGCTATATAACTTTAATAATAGTTCAACTACGACCCAACTGCAGACATATTTCATCCCTATATGTATAATGGGCGGCTTTGTACAAATTTCATCAAAAATGGTTAGGAGAGAACTCACAATTATTATTATTTTTCTGATACATACACATGTTCTTATGTTGCATAGCCAATATTAGATTTTTTACAAAGTTGTAAGTTGCTCAAAATTTAGTCATGCATGTATACATGTACAATGTAGTAAACTAGTAATGTACATGTGTCTTTGTACAAGCAGTGCTTGTCAACTCATGAAGCATGCTGTTTAGCTCACTTAGCATGCCTGATGAGAGACTATGTATATGTAACATAGAGAAGGCTAGAGACACAAAGGGAAAAAGCTGCAATGGGCATGGGATATTGAGTAATAATTACTGAAAAAATGACATACTTTGAATTAATTGCAATAGAAAGCATAACAGTAAAAGCAGTAATTTTGTGCTGTAGTTAGTTAAATGCTTTTAGCACAGATGTGACACAGCAATTACAATGATCTATCATATTATAACTAATAAACATAATGCTGAGAAGGGTTTTGAATATTTATAAATTATTGCTTAATTAGGTGACACTAATGGTAATATTATTGGAATGGTTTGTGTTGTAGCAGTAACAGTATAATAGTAAACATTGCTGGCATTGGTGTTACACTTGCATACATAACATAGTGATATATACTGTAAGACATTTGACCACTTCACCCTCATGCCTGCCACACAAACACAAGGCATGCTAATACTTTACTTTACAATTTATTTACAGAAAACTGTTGTACAGCATTAGGATTCAGAATGAGGAAGAGTACGAGTGTTATAGGCAATGGTTCCATTCAACGTTTGGTGTACATTAACTACAAGGTTACTAAACTCTTCCATCCCCATTTACGTAGGCTACTTTTGGAGTGTTTGTAATATAGCAAAGCTCATTTTATATTGATTTGTATCATGCTGATTCAATACAATACAAGACTTTTCTTTTGAATTTCAATGTAAGTTATCATCAAATTTTTGTTACTCAAGTTTGTTTCAATAAAACTGTATTAAAGGAAAATTTACTTTTTGTTGCACATTTAAGGTAAGTTTTACTAATAATGAGAACACAATACACATAACAATCTTTTGTATACTCCTAAAGGCTGATCCTGACACTGGACAGTTAATGCCATATGTTAAAACAGGAAGTGCTGTATAAACCAATGGCCACCATTTACTTAATGTAAGAATAGAGCTATTCTTAAGTTAAGTAATTGGTGGCCATTGGTTTGTACAGCACTTCCTGTCTTAACTTATGGCCTCACTTTATGTTAACTGTCCAGTGTGAATCAGCCTTAACACAACAAGCAAAACAACTGTATAACAACAGTAAAGACACTATGCTACACTATTAAGGTAAGTTTTACTAATAGTAAGAACACAATACACATTACAATCTTTTGTATACATAACTAGATACTCCTAACACAAGAAGCAAAGCAACTATATAACCGTAAAGGACACTACGCTACACTATTAAGGTAAATTATACTAAAAATAACTAAGCAATACACATTACAATCTTTTGTATACAATTAGATACTCCTAACTCAGCAAGCAAAACAACTGTATAACAGTAAACTACTATGCTACACTTTTAACTTTATTTTATTCTATTTTCACAACTTAAGATTATTCTGCTCTTAATATTATTATTGTTATATTGTTTTTCTGAAAAATATTGTTGTTGTTTTAATTATAAAATAATAATAATAATAATAATAATAATAACAACAATGATCACAATAATTATTATAATATTCCTTTACTACTTCACAACAATAGATAAACAAGTACATGTATAATTAATAATAACAGCATCAATAATAATAATAATAATAATAATTGTAATAATAGTTTCTATTGTTATTATTCTTTAAGTTGTATTGATGAGTATGGTTAGTCATAGTAAAATTTGGAAATATGTATGAATTTTTATAGGAATGGTTCATAAGGTTATTCTCTTGACTTGTAATTGTGAACCTCTAGCTGTATCATTGGTTAGAGCCAGTTTTTGCCCAGCTACACCTACCAATCCACACATTTAATCTTCTTGAATGGGCAGAGGCTCTTATGGTTGAGTGTCAAGTAGCTCTGAGAGACTTTTGTACTTCTCTGCAGTACCGGTGTCCGATTGGCAGCTTTAATAGTGTAGCATAGTGTCCTTCACTGTTATACAGTTGCGTTGCTTGTTGTGTTAGGAGTATCTAATTGTTTACAAAATATTTTAAAATGTATTGTTTACTTATTATTAGTAAAACTTACCTTAATAGCGTAGCATAGTAGTTTACTGTTATACAGTTGCTTTGCTTGTTGTGTTAGGAGTATCTAATTGTATACAAAAGATTGTAATGTGTATTGCTTAGTTATTATTAGTAAAACTTACCTTAATAGTGTAGCTTAGTGTCCTTTACTGTTATACAGTTGTATTGCTTGTTGTGTTAGGAGTATCTAATTGTATACAAAAGATGGTAATGTGTATTGTATTGTTATTATTAATAAAATTTACATTAATATTGTAGCATAGTAGTTTACTGTTATACAGTTGTAATGCTAGTTGTGTTAGGAGTATCTAATTGTATACAAAATATTGTAATGTGTATTGTGTTCTTATTATTAGTAAAACTTACTAGCATAGTGTCCTTTACTGTTATACAGTTGCTTTGCTTGTTGTGTTAGGAGTATCTACCGTAATTCCTCTAAATATTCGACGCTCTAAATTCGAAAATAAATAATTATTTCAAATTTTCTGCCATAATTCATTCTAAAAATTCGTTTTAAATATTATTGTTCCACGTGGTTACTTCATCACTTACTTTTAAGTTGAATAGGAGAGAAGGATACATTGAATAGCCAGGTTAGCATGCAGCTGGTTTTGTGTATTAATGGATCTCTCCAAATTCGACAAAAATTATTAATTTAATAGCTTCATAACTACTTTCCCTCTAAAAATTCGTTTTTAAAATTACAACTAGCAAACTTGATGTGTTGAATTTTTAGAGGAATTACGGTAATTGTATACAAAAGATGGTAATGTGTATTGTATTGTTATTATTAGTAAAACTTACCTTAATAGTGTAGCTTAGTGTCCTTTAATGTTATACAGATGTATTGCTTGCTGTGTTAGGAGTATCTAATTGTATACAAAAGATTGTAATGTGTATTCCTTAGTTATTATTAGTAAAACTTACCTTAATAGTGTAGCTTAGTGTCCTTTACTGTTATAAAGTTGTATTGCTTGCTGTGTTAGGAGTATCTAATTGTATACAAAAGATTGTAATGTGTATTGCTTAGTTTTTTATTAGTAAAACTTACCTTAATAGTGTAGCATAGTAGTTTACTGTTATACAGTTGCTTTGCTTGTTGTGTTAGGAGTATTTAATTGTATACAAAAGATGGTAATGTGTATTGTGTTCTTATTATTAGTAAAACTTACCTTAATAGTGTAGCATAGTGTCTGCTGTATAC